TATATATATATATATATATATATATATCTTTCTCTCTCTGTCTCTCGCTATATATATATATATAGTGTGAGAGAGAGAGAGAACGACACAGAAGTAACGTTGTACTTTGCCAAATTGCTTGCCAAACTGCTAAAATTGTGTAAATACTTTTATCTACGTGCTTTTATCTAATAATACATCCACTATTCAACGCCTAATGTTTTATACTTATATAGATCTATGTAACGCTTTTAATCTACTCTAGTACCTACGCAAACTTTATCAACGAATGTAGATTTATGCAATGTTTTAAACCTATTTCGACACCAACCCACCATTTTAATCTTAATATTTTACTTACTTCTGCTGATATGATGTCGTAGTTAGAAATATTGTAAACAGTCCATGTATTTCAGCAATGGCTGCAATTATTATTATTATACGTCTTACCATTCTCTAATGCTTTACTCTTGGCGATGCCTGTTCTTGCATAATTGTTTTTTGTGTGTTCCCTACAGGTGTGTTTCGCCATCTACCCTGCCTCCAGACGGTACTTTTGGGGAACGATCTTATCTGCGATTGTGACATACTTGATCTAGCGAAATGGCTGAATAGAACAGGTACATTTTTTATGTACTAACCTATTGTTTTTGCTTTTCAATAAGCTTGTTCTCTGCTTGAACTGCACATGCACAGTTTGATGCAAACCTCTGTGTCGATGATTGTTTTCTTGTCCATTGAACACTTAAAAAAAGGAATACGCGTTCGTATATACCAAGTTAAATCAAAGGGGTCGTGTGGCACAACGGCAGCGTGTGCGACTCGGAATCAAGAGGTCCCGGGTTCGAGTCCTGACATACCACTGATCTTGTGCACTTTACACGACTTTCCCCACTAGACTCAGGTGAAAATGAGTATTGTCTGCCCAGTATTCGTTTCTATATGCGGGACACAACACCAGCAACAGTTGCCTCTGTTCTGCGTGTATTGCATTGTTGCAATAAATAAAAATAAAAAAATAAGTCAAATCAAGCAACAGTTAAAAAACATTACTACTAAGCAACCTTCGCCAAGGCAACAGTTTAACTGCATCTCATGTTTCTTTTGTATGCAGCTGTGGATGCTCTGCGACATGGCGCATCGTCACAGCCAGTGGCCTGCTATATCTACAATCCGCGGAGGAGGGGAGTACTTCTCAGCAACCTTCGAGAGGAAGATTTGCAGATGACGTGCCCAACGACAACCGACCCACCACCCACGGAATCTACTGTGCAGACCTGGTAAGTGTTCACTAGTAGTGTACTCAAAAGGTGTCCTTTCTTACTTTGAGTGGCGTTAATAAATGCTAGGTTTGTAAGTTTTGGTTCCACTGATGTGAATCGGCAGATATTTGGTTTCTGAATTGATTTACAGGGTTGTGACCCGGTATATACTGGGTTCAAGGATGTGGTCACCAGGAACGTATGAAGTATAAACCACGAAGTCACAGGGGAGTAATTTTGTAATCTCTAATTTGTTGTCACTAAAGAGAAAACTTCAAATCAAAAGAGCAATGTTTGTCACATGATTGATGTATTACTTCGATCAGGTTCATTTGCAACTTTGTGCATTGCCGGAGTTGACAATGAAAGAATAAGATACCAATAAAAGCTCGGAAGGCCAATAGTTTGTAAAGATGGAATATAGATGTAAGGAATCTAGACTATATATAGTTGTCATGAGTGATGATGCATGTCCCCTATCAATTTTGTTGTCTCCCTCTAAATACACTCTCTCGCTACTTCATCTTCTGCACAGCCCAACATCTCTTACAACTGAAGTGATGACATCTCCTCGCCTTGAGACAACTCCGACAGCAACAACACAGCTTCCACCTTCTCCTAAAACAACAACACAGCCTGGAACATGCACCGCCCCAAGGGACATCGCCGTGCAAAACGTACAAGAATCTCGTGCTGAAATCACATGGTTTCACGACGGTAAAGCTGCAAATGTGGACCTGACAGGATTCGTCATTGAGTACCAAATCTTTGGGCAGAAGTGGAAAGATACTCAAAATGTTCACTCCGACGAACGCTACTTCACCATGGCGGATCTCGTTCCTAGCACACCCTACCAAGCCTGTGTGGCCGTGCTCTGTAAGGGGAAGAAGATACAACCAGGACGAGACTGGACGGATTGTGTGCATTTTACAACGAAGATGAGATCTACAACAATAGTCGGCTTGGCCGTAGGCATCCCTTTGCTGCTCGTCATCCTCTGCCTAGTAGCGGCAATCGTCATTGTCCTGAAGAAGAGAGGGCCCTTCTCTGCAGAGCAAGATGCTGGCCACACCCCTGAGCGTCCTCAACTCCAGGTATTTCCTTTTCATTGCAATGTGTTAACTTTTTTGTAGTCTAGTCTGTGTGCAACAGAAATCACACTATGACTGTTTAGTGCTCTATGGAGCCTTTCACAGCAGAGTTTGTGGCCGTATACCTCTAAACCAGGAGACAATTTTCAAAAGGAGACCTACCAATATAGGAGCTTCTTTGTCACCATGGCTCACAGTCCAATAGAGGAGGTCAGCATGTTCTGTCACCGTTAAAACAGTCATAACCGCCTCTATCACCATGCCTGACAGTCACACAAAAATGTTAAAAGAGAACTATTTGTGTCAGTGCACAGTAAACCAGTCAGAATTGCCCTGATGAAGATGACAGAAGGTCATCGAAACGTCGGTTTGAAAAGTAAATGGTTGTGATAGAAAGAACGTTATTTGCTATTCAACTATTAGTGTATAGTCTTGATATTGATTGCTGAATTTTTGTTCAAGCAGTAAGTCCCCGGCCAGGCTCCAGTTGGTATTGTAGCCTTAGCATAAGGTAGAGATCATCTGCAAATCCAAGATACCAACAAGTTTCCGTTTCTCAGGAAGCCAATCACAGCCCGGCTGACGGTGCAGTTGGTCCCGTTGAGGATCCACCCTACCACAGCATCAGAGACAATCCGCGGGAGCGTCCTGATCGGGAGAACAGGTACCAAAACGCAGGATTCGCCGCAGAGCCCGTAGCGCATGGAATCACCAGCTCATACCTGGATTTGGGCCAAGCTGGGGCCGTCCTCAACTCGGCAGGTTTGTCTGTTCGTATTTATTATATTTGGGTCCCCCTAGCGGTTCTCTGTGGTATTGCAGCAAAACTTTCGGTTTCTTCTGGACACTATAGTATAATGCATGAACGCAAGCTATATGATATCCACGTGCCCGGAGTTTGAAATCTCTGATTATGTTTACCATCGCAGGAGAAAAACGTATTGTTTTTACTCCGTTTCTTCCTCTGCTTCTTCTCCAAAACGAAGATGGTCAATGACCTGAGTCAGTCTGTCACCATGGTAACTAGCACTGAAGCAACACCCTGTAGTGCTGGTTACATTGGCCTGCTTTACACAAAACTTTTTCAAGTCAACTAGAACTCAAGACGACTTGAGCTAGTCGACTTGAGCGAAAATGTCCCTGTGTAAAGGGAAATAATTCAACTCAAGTCGCATTTTAATCAAGACGACTTGAGTCGTATCCAAACCAGACTTAAGTCGTCCAGCGGGGTTCCGAGTCCTCTAGCTTCGCGTGTGTAAATGGGCAAAGTCGACTTGAGCGTCTCTGCGTAGTAGTCAGGCAAGCCCGAGCCACCGAGTCGACTTGGGGGTAGGGTGGCACAGCGGGAGTGCCAAGTCGCTTTGCTGCCCTGTGTGTAAACAGAACTTTTTCAAGTCGACTTCGCCGAGTCGACTTAGAAATGGTGTGTGTAAAGCGGGCCATTTTGTCGCAGGACAGAGTTGGAGAGCCTGCATGCTCACCATATACATGAAATATATTTGGCTTTGAGTAAGCAGTAGTTCGTTGGGCTAGACCATGTGAAGGTAAACATTATTGCACGTGGACCAGATGTGAGGAATGCGAGTTACCCGAATCGCGGTTTGGGTGACTTCACATGAACAAGGCTTAAGCAGTAGTTCTTTGGGCTAGGCCAGGTGAAGGTAAACATTATGCATTTGCTATGCAAATGTCACGTTTTTAGTTTCTTGTGATACCTGTTTGCAGCAGGGGGGCCACCTGGGAACCGAAGGTTCTCCGAAAGCTCCTTTAACAACCCCGTCTACACGGCGGACAGCGTCAACGAAAACATCTACACGAGAGTCAACGACGACGGCCTGGATGGGACAATGGCAAGAGCGTCATCCGCAGAGGAAGACGTTTACATCGATGTTATCGCTTAATCGGTAAATTTGAGCCTGCCTGCAGTAACACTATGCAAACACTTTGCTGAATTTACAATATGTATAGCTGTGTTGATTAACCACTAATTGTCGTTTAGGCCACAGCAAGTAACTTTTATGGATGACAAGAAATTTTGTTGCCTTCTGACAGTGGTCATCATGCCGAAAATGGGCAAATATGTCTGCTGCCATGCCGGAAGGTGGATGCAGATAACTATGAAGAGAGGAGGCAAGAAAAGGCTCTGATTTAATGTTTTTTTCTTACTTTGATGCAGGGATATGTGATAGTGGCTGTGTATATGTGATGTTCCTACTGAATCAAAAGAATCTGTACGATTATTGAGTCAAAATTTTAAAATGTAGGAACCTTGTTTTTTTAGGCTCGCCTTGTTTTTTTTCGCCCGCTCGCATTCGATTTTGAGTCTGTGGAGGATGTCATCCATAAAATTTCCTTGCTGTGGCCAAATAAGGCCATAAGGCCTAAGGGGAGAAAAAAGAAGAGAGAAAAGAAAGAATCAAGCAACCGGCCGCGGCACCATTCATATCTTTCTCTCGCCCGACTGTATAGTGTGTATAGACTGTAAGTGCGCATCCACTAGAGATAGAAAAAGGCCGCTATAGAAAACTACCTGTGCACGAGAGATTATGTAAATATTGTATAATGAATGCAGTGGAAAATAAAATACATTTTGTTACCCAGTGTCCTCACTATGAGACCGAAAGAAACAGAATATTTCAGACAGTTACAACAATTTCTCCATCCTTTCGTCATTTAGAAGATCACCAAAAAACTGCATTTCTACTAAGATCACAAAACCCACTAATTATGAAGAATGTGGGACTATTCATTATCCACTGCCTTCAAAGAAGAAGTCGAACCCCATAATAGCTTAGTAGTAGAAGTAGAAGTTTCCCAGACAGTTGTTACCTGTCTCCTGTTGATACTTGATTGTAAAAGCAATTAGCTATCCTTCGGGCATGATATTGCGAATAAAGTTAATTATCATATAAAACATCTATATAAGTTTAAAAACTTTAAAAACTTTGCTAACCTTTTAAAATTTGTATGACGATATCTGTGCTGATTGATTATTATTACGGGAATTGTCATATTGTATTTTGTTTTCACGATGTATACCTCATTTTATGTTTCGTATTTAGGTGTAATGTTATGCTAATTAAAACTTGACAGATGTTCCAAACGAGAAGCTAAACACAATATACGTGTATTATACATTTATAACCCTTATGCTTTCTGTAACTTAGCTGACATGTTACGCCGAAGGGTAGTTATACCGGCTATCATCATCATCATCATCATTCACTGTGTTCTGTGTCTACAGTCGCATAGACGCAGAATAACCGGTCTGTATACCGGTTATACAGATACGGAAATGCAGATACTGAAACTCTTGAAATATTTCTACACGTATAAGACGTCATAATATAGACCAAAAAGCCACAATAACAACTTTTGTGGTGGTGTTATTACGTCAAATAAAATAAAATTATTACATAGCATTAAATACTTTAATGGATAAATTAAGCCGTATGTTTAAGACATATTAACCTTTCTGATTGAAAGATGCTGTTTTGGCAGGATACGTTATTCAACAAGACAGATTAAAATTTCGACAATTCATTTATATATTCTTATGCCACGTTTTGACACGTGCACACAATAACAGCTTTTGTGGTGGTGTTTTATAAAATAAAATGAAACTATTATATCAACATTGAACACGTGTTTTCGCACATTTCAGTAGTTTCCTTACTTCGCGTAAATTGGCAGCACAAATATATCCGTGTGAATATAATGATTGTACCAACCTGATAAAATTAATATTAAGCATGTCAAGGGTTCCAACTGCAAATGCGCGAGGTCAAAGTTAAAGGCCCTTCTTTTGTAAGTCAGTTTTAGCCTTGATTATACTTAATACCAAAAATACCATAATTGACGACATTCGTAAAAGAAGGCTGAGGTGGTTTGGTCACGTTCAGAGGAGACCCCCAGACTCTTTGGTATATGGGGTCTACCATCAGGATTTCACAAACCCCAGACCTAGAGGTAGACCCCCTAAAAGATGGCGGGACCAGATAGTACAGGACACGGGGTGGTCCCTCAAGTACGCTGAACGAAAGGCTAAGGACCGTGATGCCTGGCGGGGAAAAAAATGAAGAGGAGCAAGGGGCCAGTTCTGGCCTAAGCATTTAGGCAGGTAGGCAGGCATACTTAATACTTGTCCAGGCGTGTTTTGGTTGTCTCAGGGACATTCAACTTTGACATTTTCGAAAAAATGCAGCACGTCGCTTGCCTTTACCCGGCCTGGGGCGACCTCAGTGACTGAGCAGGGCCTGAAGGACAAAAAAAAAGTACCTTTTTGCAAGGAGGAAAGGTCAGATTTTATCTTCAACACAGCAACGTCTTGTTTCCTCAACCTCTAGCTTGATGTGTATCAGCGTTACTACGAATCCAATCACATGCATGAAATGTTCACACTGAATGTCTGTACTTAGCTGGGAGGCAAATATTCCAGCTGATTCAACTGTCAACCCTTCATAAGACGTTACAGATCATATCCCAACACCACATTCATTCATACATTAACTTGCATATTTTTAAAACTAGAAATACCAGAGCCCTGGCAACAACTACATGCACCATTGGGTATTTACATGAGAAGTGGGGGGGGGATGAACCTGCCAATTAGCCAGGCCTTCGTCATCAAAACTTGTCAGGCAACTTCTTCAGCTTGACTGCACTAATTCAGGAAACGGCGTCCAAAACCCAACCCACTTCATTTGTGATCTGCCGCTTACAACTCAAGGTAAGACAGAAGTTACATACAGTACTAGCGCTAAGCCGTTTGTATACTGATAACTGTTATGTGGTGTTTAATATGAGGCAGGTTGTCATAAATGTTTGTTGTAATCTTTCACGATCAATGTGATTGAAGACTCTGAAGGGTAGGTGGCCATTTTGTAAACATGGGGAGGGTTTAAGTAAGTTTCGTTTGTATTTTGTTTTAGAATATATAACAAATTGATGTTTTGACATTAGTGTCATCTGATTCACGAAACAAATCAAGAAAATGTCTTAATATTTTTAAAAGTTAAGAAAGGCTTCTGAGGTTCTGGAAGAGACTTACGTGCAAGATACACAAATCGCACACTAATTATGTTCATTAATTCCATCTCGTTGGGTGTCAGGTCTTACTGACAAATATATTGGTACTTTATTCATTTTTTGTCGGCAGTTGGACATGATGGCGGAAAACTTGAAGTCCTGCTTGTTGCAACTTGTGCTTGTTCTCGTTGTGGTCTTCAGTACGGTGTCTGCTCAGTACTGTTCGATGAAATGCCGTTGTGAAGGTACAAGTATTTATTATCTTTGCCAGAGGTTTATATTTAAGGCAGCGTTTGTGTGTCTATTACTTTACATAGACTTTGTCAGTGTTATCGGTCTTGTTGGTATTCCCAAGTTTCATAATCATTTCAACTTATTTATATGCAAAAGCCAAGGATGACTGCCGAAGACAAGCAATTAAATTTTACATTTTACACAGATTATATATATATATATAATCTGTGTAATCTGTGTAAAATGT